CAAGGTGCTGGACTGGATGGGCCATTGGCCTGATCCAACATTGGCTTCTCTTATGTTCTTATGACTCTTGAAAGCTTATATTCTTGAAATCTTGTTGGTCTTTATGGTGCTATTGGACTCAAATTGAGCTCTTCCAGTACAGGCCAGCATGGCTCCCTTTCGAGACTCAAAGGTAGCTGAAGAAGGGGACCTTTGTCTTTCAAAAGCTCATACCCCCAAAATCCTGTTCGCCTCTAAGGTCCTACTGGATTCAAATCGAGCTCTTCCACTGCACACCAGCACGGCTCCCTTTTGAGACTCTAAGGTATCACTGGGAGTACTGTGTTCAGTTTGGGGCAACATAGTTTTAAGAGGAGGAGGAGAGGAGGAGATTGGATTTATACCCCGCCCTTCACTACCCAAAGGTGTCTCAGAGCGGCTTACAAACTCCTTTCCCTTCCCCTCCCCACAACAGACACCCTGTGAGGTAGGTGGGGCTGAGAGAGCTCTTGACAGAAACTGCTCTTTTTCAAGAACAGCTCTTATCAGAACTACGGCTTGCCCAGGGTCATCCAGCCAGGTGCAAGTGGAGGAGTGGGGAATCAAACCCGGTTCTCCCAGATTAGAGTCCGCACACTTAACCACGACACCAAACTGGCTCACTAAAAGGGTGTTGGCAAGCTGGAACTTATCCAGAGGAGGGCAACGGAGATGGTGAGGGGTCTGGGGACCAAGTCCTGTGAGGAAAGGTTGAAGGAGCTGGGTAGGTTTAGCCCAAAGAGTAGAAGACTGAGAGGGACCACCTTGAAGTATTTGAAGGCCTTTCATATAGAGGATGGAGTAGAGTTTGATTTCTGTTGCCCCAGGACCAACATACTGTAATTAAATTAAATTAAAGGAGTTTTTGGCTAAACATTAGAAGAACTTCCTGACAGTTACAGCGGTTCCTCGGTGGAACAGGCTTCCTCGGGAGGTGGTGGGCTCTCCTTCTAAATAAGTAAAATATTAATACCAGGACACTTTCAAATACGTTTTCCCTTACAACAATATTGATCACATTGTGTCAATAAATAAATAAATAAATAAGGTTTTTATACCCGCTCTCTCTACCCTAGGTAGTCTCAAAGCGGCTTAACATCTTCCCTTCCTCTCCCCACAACAGGCACCTTGTGAGGTAGGTGGGGCTGAGAAAGTTTGGAGAGAACTGTGACTGGCCCAAGGTCACCCAGCAGGCTTCATGTGGAGAAGTGAGGAATTGAACCCAGTTCTCTGGATTAAAGGCCGCCGCTCTTAACCACCACACCGCACTGGCTCTCCCCACAACAGACACCTTGTGAAGCAGGTGGGGCTGAGAGAACTCTGAGAGAACCATGACTGGACCCAGGCCCGTAGGTAAGGTGGGGCTCTTGAGGGCTCTGCCCCCTTTCTTAAAGGCACAGCCCCACAAGAATTTCTCCTGTAAATGCTTTTTTCAATCATTTTAAAACATTTTTTAAAAGGTGTGCACTCCTTTAAGCAGAGTGGGGTGCTGTAGTTGACGAATTCCCACACTGAGCAAGGGGGTTGGAGTAGGTGACCTCTAGGTTCCCTTCTAACTCTGTGTCAAGAAATCGGTCTCCTTTAAGAGAGCTTTTCTGTCTAAGTGTTATCTTTCTTGACTATAGAAGTCATCACCCCCACCGGTCGGCTTGTTCTCAGAATTGTTGCTTAGGCTGGCCGGAGTGATTAACTTGCAGCTGCTGAGAACTGTTGTCTAAAGTGCAAATCTCAAAAAAATCTGTCCCACAAGCCACAAAATCCCGGCTCGGGGCGTGACTGGCCCAAGGTCACCCAGCAGGCTTCAAGTGGAGGAGGTGTGGAGAATCAAACTCAGTTCTCCAGAGCAGAGGCCGCCACTGTTAACCACTACACCACACTGGCTCTCGATGGCCACTGGAATTGGCAATGCCCTGAAAGGGTGGATGCTGTGCAATTGATGCTGTTCATTTTTCATAGTGAGGCTCATAGGTTCCCCCCTCTTGCTCGGGAGGTGCCCAGGAGGTGGAATTCTCGCTGTGTGCGCCACAAAGAAGCCGGCCGACCCCCTCCCGCCTTCCCCGCGCCGTGTCTACACTTACTGCCTGTGCATATGCGCCGTACGCTCCAAACTGGATCGCCATGGGGTTGAACATGCCCATCTGCCCCGCCATTTGCTGCATGCGCCTCATGGTGCGCTCCTTGTCCGTGTCGGCAAACTTGACCACCAGGCTCGACGAGGCCCCCTGCAGGAAGGGAAAGGAGAAAAAAACAAGGTAGAAGGAGGGGGAAAGAACTCGCTTGGGATCCATGAGAAGAGAAAAGGGAAATACGCCTTCGGTCTAGGACTGCCAGATCCGGGTGGGGAAACATGTGGAGATTTGGGGGGTGACGCCCGTGGAAGGGTGGGGTTTGAGGAGAGGAGGGGCCTCAGTGTAACATAATGCCATAGATCCTGCCTTCCCAGGCTGTTAGCACCTTCGGGGGAACTGGTATATATCTGTCGTCTGGAGATCAACTGTGATGGCGGGAGATCTCCAGGCTCCGTCTGGAGGTTGGCAACCCTACTTTGGTCCCAACTGCCATGACAAGCGGGACTGCAGGCCGGCTCTGGACCTTAGGGTTGCCAGCCTCCAGGGGAGGCCTGGAGTCCTCCCAGAATTATAACCAATCTCCAGACTACAGGGATAAGAACATAAGAACATAAGAACATAAGAGACGCCTCCCTTGCATATTAGGCGACACACCCCTAAAGTAGTCAATCCCCCAAGAGCTTACAGAGCTCTTCTTACAGGGGCTACTGGAAGCTCTTGGAATATTGGCTACATTAGGGGTGTGTCGCCTAATATGCAAGGGAGTTCCTGCTACAGAAAGAGCCCTCAATTTGAGGGTGGGTGGGTGTTGAAGAGAGAGAGAACTGTCTGAATGTGCCAAGGGGGAGCAGAGGGTGGTGACGTAAACTCCTCTTCTCCCGATATTCTGAGGCTTCTGGAGTCCCCCCCCCCTTTCCTGGGCGACGGGGCGCGGTGGCAGACAGTTCGTGGTGTCAGGCGACCAGCGATAGCGACGAGGGGTCGTCTAGCTCATGTGACACAGTTAGGTTAATCTTTATAAAATCTTTATAAAATATGACATCCTACCTTTACTAATGACTAAGCATTTCACTAGGATTGCATCATCCAGCACTAAACTATAAAGGTTAACCAGACCTACTCAATAGCACTGCTGTTTGCTTGAGGACACTCTACCTCTGACTTAGCCACCCAGGTGCTTTTTGGACCTAAATTGGAAGGTAATCCTGTCCTATTATATAAAAGGGTAGTGGTCTGGCAACGTTCTATGCTTGGATAGCAGGAACTCCTTTGCATATTAGGTGACACACCCCTAATGTAGCCAATCCTCCAAGAGCTTACCGTAGCCCCTGTCAGAAGAGTTCTGTAAACTCTTGGAGGATTGGCTACATTAGGGGTGTATTGCCTAATATCCAAAGGAGTCCCTGCTACAAAAAGAGCCCTATTCTATCCATCTATCCATCTATCCATCCATCCATCCATCCATCCAGGGCTCTTTCTGTAGCAGGGACTCCTTTGCGTATTAGGCGACACACCCCTAAGGTAGCCAATCCTCCAAGAGCTTGCAGTAGCCCCTGTCAGAAGAGTTCTGTAAGCTCTTGGAGGATTGGCTACATTAGGAGTGTGTCGCCTAATATGCAGGGGAGTCCCTGCTACAGAAAGAGCCCTCAATTTGAGGGTGGGTGGGTGTTGGATTCTACAGCACCATATCCCTGCTGAGGTCCATCCCCTCCCCAAGCTCAGCACTCCACAGGTGCCAATCCCAAACATCCAGGAATTTCCCAAACCAGAGTTAGCACCCCAAGTGCTGGTCTCTACTGATCTGAGGCCCAGGGGAGAGAGGGTGGGGTTGGGGGGGGGGAGAAACAGGGAAGAAGCCTAAATCCCTGGAAGGATGGTCATCGTCATCATCATCATTATAACCATCAATTCTTACAACATGCAATCCATTAAACAATAAAAACAGTAGAACCAATTGTCCCGAGGGCGAGCCTCCGCAGGGATAGCCACCGCCGCTCGGGACTCCAACCCAACCAAACACCCCAGCCCCGACCATATCTGCACCTATCAGAGACCGCAGCCACCTTGCCATGCTGGGACCCAGCAGGATGCCCCCAAAGTGGCCGGGTGACGCCATCTGTCACGAGTGGCCGACGCCAAAGGAAAATGCCCTGGGAGGGGGGAAGGAGACCGCGCTGGGCGAGGAAAGATGCTGGGCTGACGCGGCCGTTAGGGCCAGAGGGAGAGAGCCGGAAGGAAGCCACGCCCCAGACTCAACGTCTCGGGATAAGAGGAGAGGGCGGGGCCAAGACAGAGGGTGGTACACAAGGGAGAGCAGGTGGGACGGGATGGGAATTAAAAGGGGAACTCAGACAGAGGGCGAGGAGGATGAGAAAGGCACGAGAGGCGCTGCTGACAGGAGAGAGAGAGAGAGAGAAATGTCTGAACGTGCGAAGGGAGAGTAGAGCGTGGTGACGTAACCTCCTCTCCTCCCGATATTCTGAGGCTTCTGGAGTTCCCCCCCTCTTCCCCGGGCGACAGGGCACGGTGGCAGACAGTTCGTGGCGGCCGGCGGCCAGCGATAGCAACGAGGGGCCGTCTAGGTCATGTGACACCAATAAACCGTCGATGGCAGGATAGACAATATCCACAAGCCTCATGCCTCACATCGGGTGACCATAGGTACTCCAGAAAACGCCAGTACCCAATAATGTTACCTAAAATGGCAAGGCACTGGGGAGGGGGCCATAAACCAAGGAGGCCGGGATAGTTGAACGTCCGCCGCCTCAACCAAAAGCCTGGCAGAACAGGTCCGCTTTACGGGCCCTGCAGAACTGTCATAACGTCATAGAGAGATTTGGTCCACTCCACAGTAAACAATGGCCAAAACACCCCAGCAAATAACAACTGTGTACTGCACAAACCCGCACCAAAGTTAACAAAAAGAGACTTCAACACAAAGTTAATTCAACAAGTCTGGAATAAATATCAACACTTTTGAGGCATGTTTGGTCCAACTTACATAATAGCAACCTTGGTAGGTGCTTTCTAAAGCTTAGGAGACCTGGCCCATATAGAAACTGAATAAAGTTTGCCTGCTAAGAAATTGCAATGAGACTTCCTGTAGTGGCTTTTTGTTCCTGAGGAAGGACCAGAAGTCCGAAACACTGAACAATACCTGGAAAAGTGTTGATATTTATTCCAGACTTCATTGTTTCCCTTTGAGAAATTTCTATTCTGGACTTTGTTCTTTTTCTTTGGGATATTGTGGACTTTTGTATTTTCTTATGATGGATTACATGTGTTGAATTACCTTTGTGTTGAAGTCTCTTTTTGTTAACTTTGGTGCGGGTTTGTGCAGTACACAGTTGTTATTTGCTGGTTTTTTGGC